ATTATAAAATGGACAGAAACTTTTTATTTGGTTTTTTTTGGGGGGGGGTTTGTTTTGTTTTTGGGTTTTTTTTTTGTTTTTGTTTTTGTTTTGGAATGCAACTTAACTTAATCTTCCTCATACTTGGGAGAAATTTCAAGCCTCTTGCCATAAGCACAAATGCAGGCGTACAGACCCTAAATGTGAGCTAGGCTGAGAACACCGGAAATTCTCTGACATCTTACAACAGGCTGCTTACAAAGTGGATTTGTTGGGAAAGAATTATTTTGTTTCCCTCCTACAGGAGGAATTTATTTTGCAGTAAAATATCCTAAGTGACAGGCTCTGTTCAGTTGCAGGGGAAATTTCACTTTCCTGGATCTTTGGTTATACCTTGTAAGTTTATTTTAGAGATGGAAAAGTGCAATATTTTGCTCACAGTAGTTGAAGGAATTTGACACACCCAATGCCTGGTCTTGCTTTTCTGCTTGGCACACCTGCAGAATATATTGGAGATTTCCCTGAATGTGAGTTGATGCCAAGTTTATTATTTGCATTACTGTTGGGGAAATACTGTAATGGTGATGTGTAAATAGGTGTGGGTTTTTTTTCATGTTTTGCAATAGCTTGCTTCAGCTGCCTGGTGCACCTGCTTGCTCTTTATTAGAATTTTTGCAATTGAAAATTGGTTGTGTGAATGATTTTATGAAACTGGGCCTTCCTGAGTAGTTTGGGTTTGGGCTCCTTGAAACAGGAGCTGTACTGGTTGTAACAAGGAGAAAAATGAATTTCCAGGCTGTCTTTCAGACCCGTACTGGGTAAAAGAGCTACGGAATCTATGAACACACTTTACAGATGGTGCTCTGATCCTCAGTATTATGGTCTTCAATGAGGTTATTTGCATGCATAAATTTAAATATTTGGTTGATTGCAGGATGTGGACTTAAAATACTAGGGTATAGGAAGTATCCTGCATTAATGTGAATAGCAAAAACTTTAATTTGCAGTCAGCACAAATAGTAGTGTATTCTAAGAATGATACCTCAAATAAATTCTATGTATTTCAGAAGGAAAGATATAGAAATAACGTAACTAGAGCCCTCAAGTTTTGTGTGTAATATAGTCCTAAATCGTAAGGCAACCCCAAATCCTTATTGTGAAATATTGGTATATTTTTTAACTAAATTTTTTTGGTTGTTTTTGTTGTTTGCAGAACTACAGAAAAAAAGCCAGAATGGTTTGAAATTGAATTATTTAAAATGCTTTACAGAAACAAATTTTTACATCTTGTTCAAGTCCCCGATTATAGTTACGATGTGACAGACATTTATCTGTGCTTGAAGCCCTGGTGACTAAGAAAGTGATTAAGAAGGTTTCCCTTTCGGGGAATTTGTTGCAATGCTGCCATCTTAATGAACCCATAGATCATCAAGTTTCGTATCGAGAGGCAAACTTTTTGAAAAGGATCCAAAGTATAGGTTCTGTAATTAGTAGTTTCCCTAACCAAAACTTATTCTATCCCTTAATTTTAACTTATTCTACTCCTTGATTACTTCCCTTAATTCCAATTTCCTTTCAAAATAACCTGTTGTAAATAATCAAGGCTTTATAAAAGAAGTAAAGACAAAAGTACTGCAATTACACATGCATCAATTGTTGAGAATGGGTAGGTTTTTTTTTTCCAAGTAATGCACTCTGCATTTGGTTTTTTGAGGCTTTTGAGTGTGCTGGCTCAAGTTTTTTAATTAGTTACAAAAAGCTGCAGGTGTATTGGCAAAGACTGTTATTTAGCCTGGGAAATGTTCCAGGAGACAATTTTGTGGGGCCTTTTTCTAATGTAAATATTTAGCTATATTATTACCAGTAATTTTAAAGGTACCACACTGTGTGACTACTGTGTATTTAAACATTGCACCTTCACTTGGATGACTGACAGAACAAATGATAACCTAAGAGTACAATCTTTATTGTGAGAGGGTTTGAACACTACTGGATTACTTGCAGAAATGCCAATCTGAAGAGGTGTCAGCACCATGCAGCTGGCTCTGAGCAATGCAAAAATTAAGCAATGTTTAAGTCCCACTCTAAGTTAGTTTAAAATAGAGTACTTTGTCAAAGTTTCTGCCACTACAAAAAATTAAAGCAGCATTCTTCCTAATTTTTCTAAATTCTAAGGATTTCATAAAGCTCTTTCAAATAATTTTTACAGGTTATCAAAAGTGAGACTCTTGAGCGTCATTAAGGTTTTATGACTCTTGCAGCCAAGTGTTTGGTTTTTTTAAAATTTTTCATAAATATTTTGCTACTACTCTGACTACTGGAATTTAATTTTTTTTTTTTTTTTTTTCCCCTTCCCTGTAAAGCACTAGGTATGGTTAATTGCTGAGCAATGCCCTTGCGTGTGCTGTACCTGTTGGGTAGCTGACTGCTAACAGAATAAGACCTTACAGCTGATTTCTGTCTTTTCTGGGAGGTTCAGTTCAGTTTCAGAGTGGGTGGGAAGTCTCACCAGTAATTGAAAGGTACAAGGGATGCAATGAGCTGTGAAAATGTGATTACAATGGCTTTTAATGCTTTTAAAAGACGAAGCCTGTAGTAAACCTTACTGTGGTTGATTTGCTTTTTGTTTTTTTCTCTTTATAATTGTGCAAAGCAAGATGAGAATAGGTATAGAAACATTTATGTCTGAATTAATGTCAGTTTGCAGATACCTGAATGTATGGTCCTTCAGTTTGCTGAGCAGACTAAATGCTGATTTACTTCAGTAAGGTTTTCCAGAATCTGGTTCTAAATTTTAGTATTATTTTAATGCCTGAAACAGTATGGTAATACTTGGCTTGCATTTTCTTCAACAGAACAATATTTTTCTTCAATTACAGATGAGCACTCCCTCTGAATACGCTAAGTTTTTTTAACTTTTGTGTGTGGAGAGTAAGCTGGGCCAGACTTTCTGTACATAGAGTGATTTCTACACTGTCAAAGTGTGTGAAGATGTTTCTGATATATTTACACTGTAATTGATCCTCTCTTGAGGCGTATATGAAAGCACTGCAGTCAAAAATTGGACTCACAGGCTTCCTGTGAGAACAAGGCTTAATATAATTCTTCTGAAAATGGTGGTTTTATTAATCAGCTAATGTAAATTGGAATATTTCCAACAATTAAAAAAAATTAGTTACAACAACTGGGCATGCTAGGCTTGTGCATATAGTGGTGAAAAAAGCAAATTAAGCTGATTTTCTTTACATAAAGCACAATGATGCATTTACATTTGATTCCAGTGTATTTTATTGCATGTCTCACAGCAAAGGCAGTTCAATTAAATATCAGTGGAAGGCTTTTTCTAGATAGAGACCTCTGGAAAGTGCTTCAACCCTTTCACATTAAGAAAGCACATTTAGAGAAATGAGATGCCTCCATTTATGTGCTGGGTTTCACAGTGGTAGAAAAGCAGTAAAATGTTTTCAGGATGATACCATCCCATTTCAGCTTATTCCACTATAAGTAATAGTATTTTATTGGAGAGTCCTACATCAATATCTAGGAAAAATAAGTTGGAGGTAATTTGCTTTATATGACTGATAAAATTTTTCAAACTTCTGTCAGTCATGTTATCCACTTGTTATCCACAGGTTATCCACTGCTGTTCTGTCAGTCTGCAGCCTTCTCCAGACTATTAAACCCTTAACAAAACACACTTCCATCATGCATGTAGAAATATGTATGTCAGGTCTATCCCCAGTGGCATTCGAGCTGTATTTTAGCACAGTTAAATGCAATTTTGCCTTGGAAATAACATGCAATTATTCCAATTTCCTCCCTGGACAATGCCTTCT